CTAAGACTGAGGACGCACGAGGCAAATCTGATGTTGGATTGTTCCAATAGGAGCGAGGCCTCTTCCGTTGGGGGACCGAGTTCATAGGAAACGAGGGTTTCCCATTGTGACCCGCTCCAGCGCGAGCGTGACACTGCACTTGGCGCCGAGCGCCCGCGGCACAGACCTTGTGCAAGCCGACCCTCGGTGACCACGCCGGTCCGGACCGATGGCGCTCGGTGTGGAGCAAGCAAGACACACCCACCCCCCATCGGCGCGCGCCCGACCTTTGAACGGCCGCCAGGAGCACCAAGAGGACTCCTCATGGCTGTGGTAAAGTGGGCTTCGACCGGCCTCGGCTGGGGGGGCGGGTTGTCCCGGCTGCGGACGCCTTCTGCAGCCCCCTGGGCGTGGGTCAGCACCCCAAAACTGCCCCTCAGCGGCATACAGCACTGCCAGCCAGCCTCTTCCTCCTCCTCAAGGGCTGTACTATAGGCCATATTGCGCCGCCTCCTACTGGCAGCCGGGCGGGCGCGCGCCGCGGGCGCCTCGGCGCGCGCACGGCTCGCAAAGTTCGAACGAGTACTGCCGCCCGGCAGCCTTGAGGCGGCCGGGCGGCAGTACTCGCCTCGCAAGGCGCGCACCGGCTGCTCTGGCTGCTGCGCCGGCGGCCGCTGCGCTGGCCGCTGCTGCGCTGGCCAGCGAGCGGTACGACCGCCGGCGGCCGCTGCACCCGCGCCTTCCCTCGCGGGCGCCGTCGCGCCGCGCGCGCCCAATTCTGCTGGTACACGGCACGCGTCGTCACACAGCCGCGGAGAACAGGCGGTGCTGTGCGCGAAGCGCGCGCGATCTCGTACTTTTAAGGCTGGATCCGGCCATTCCAAGGGTATACCTGTGAGAATCCCCAGCGCCCCACCCTCCTAGTCACACTCTCAATATCTCGACTCTCCAACACGAAGTGCTGCGATCGGGAATGGCCCATTTTTTTTCGTTTCTTTTTTTGGGTCCTGTGGGCACCCTATCTTTCGTGCCGCTCGCTCGCCGGTGCGCGGGGCATGGCCTCCCGCGCGGCTCGCGCTCACTCGGCCTGCCTCCGCCTCACGGCTGGCTGAGCACGCCATGGGTCCGCCTGGTGCGGCGCTGCTCGCTCGCTGCGCTGCGCAAAGCTGCGAGGAGCAGGGTGGCCTCCTGAGCTTGAGCATTGCGCAGCGTGGCTGCTGGTGCTCGAGGACGGCCGTGCGGTGGCGTGAGGGCCTGATTGGTGGTGACCTCCTGCTGCATCAGCGTGCGCAGCATGCTCCCTCACCCGGTGCGGAGGCATGCTGGTGGGCGACTGGCGCCAGCTTCTCAGTGCTGTCCTTGGCGTTGTGCAGCATGTCGAAATACTCCTGTTGCGCTGACCGGCGCGCGGGGTGCGTCATGCCGCGCGTGGAGCGAGAGGCTCGAGGCGCGCGGCTGTCGGTCAACCCTGCGGCGCATGCGCGCCGCCAAGGCTGCTCAACAGGACTGTGGCATTGTGGCGACGCGGTCGCCGTTACTCCAACTTCGCTTTGCCAATCGAATTCCGGTCGGTTATAACGGCGGAAGTGTCGGGGGGTACGGCGCTCGAAAAAGTGATCTGATCACCCGAATACCACGTTCGGATCGCTCCTCATCGCAAACCCCGTCAGCAGTCCTCCTCCGGGAATGTACGTAAGAGCTACATACACTGAAAAAGGCAAGCGAACGAGAAGTCCATAACTTTTCTTTTTCCTCCTGGCTTCTTAGCCCCCCGGCCCTGGATGTGCGGTTGCCGACTGCACTCCAAGTGCTCCAAGTGCTCCGCGTCCGAAAGTATACAAGAAGAGGCGAAAGAAGAGGACGGACACCGGTGATGACAAAACAGACGAGAGCAGGGCAGACCCGGGGACGGGGGAGCCGGAGCAGACGGCATCGGCCGCCGAGGGAACGTTGGGAAGAGGCACGAGGAGGGCGGCGACCTCAACCGACTATGGAGGACCAGTCGCCAGACGACGAATTCCAGACGACGCAGGGCAGACGACGGTGAGACGGAGCAGACGCGCAGGGCGAGACGAGGGAGGGAGCAGGACTTTGCGGAGATCAGCAGGAGGATGTACGAAGAGATTAGGAGCAGCAGGAACCCGAGGGACCATGTGGAAGACGGCTAGTGCTAGTCCCCTATCGGGAGGACGACCCCGGCTAGTCGCCGACCACCCCCACAAAGAACCCTGCACAAAGATCGCACGGGCGGGGACCTGTTCCTTTTTACCCATCTCACAGTAGAGGTGTCCGTTTTTATGTATTTATTTCTCCGCGTCCGTGTCGCCGCCGCCGCCTTCCCTAAATTATGTGCTGGGCAGTCAGTGCACACCCCACGCGCACACAAATCACTATCAGTATCCGCACACACACCACACACGCACTTTTTTCATGGATGGACTTGGAGGATGCCCGCAAGAAAAGAGAAGAGCGGGGAGCTCTTTCCGCCGGCGGGCGCGGCCCTAGAGGGCTACAGCCTATACTGCAGCGTGTACGGGCGCGACCGGCCCCCCAGCTTCGGCTGAGGGTTGACAAGCTGCGGAGCCCAAATCACTGTGAGAGGCGTGATTTCTTTTTGGATTTCAAAAATCTCTCTCTCTCTCTCTCTGGACGCACCAGCGAAAAAATACATAGAGAGCGCCGGCGCATGAGATATGCAACGCAATCCCGGCCCGCGGGCCCGCCGCCCCTAGACCACGGCCACGAGGGGGTGGCGAGATTACAAGGGTGAACTCGGTAAATACGCCGCGACGGGGGGGCCTACCCCAGGTCCGCGTCCGCCTCGGTGACGATTGAGCCGACAAGCGGCGGCAAGTTGGTTGGCCTACCGGCAGCAGCGTCGGGGGTCTCGGATTGGGCCGGATCGCGCAGGCCTCCCGGACGGGCCGCGGCTGACCGCGCAGACGCAGCCTTGGGCTTACGCTGGCTGAAGGTGCGCGCGGCTTGGTCGATGGCCCGGAGCTGCAGTTCGAGGGGGCGGGCCAGGCGTGAGGGCTCTCAAAGAGACGCACGAACGAACCGGCGACTGCAATCCCGAGGCGAAGAGAGTGCGTGTTCCGCGCGGCGTGTGGCGGCGGCGCACCCTCGCGCGCATGGTCTGCTCGGCGTCGATGTGCGGCGGCAGGCGGAGGCAGCGAATGTCCTGCCCTCGCACACGCAGTGCCTTGTGCTGCCCGCTGTCGCCCGCCGCCGGCCACGCATCGACAGCAGACAGCAAGACGCTGGGCGCGGCGCGGGCGCGCGTGTTGTGAGAGCTAGTGAGGACTGCACGAACGGCGGTGGGGTGCGGCGGTGGGCGGGCGCACTTCATTTGCCCGTCGGCCTCTTCAAGCCACCCTGTCAGCAGCGTGTCGTCGAGCAGCTCGATGGTCACGCGCACGCGGCCGATCGTCCCGTCGAGCCGACGCTGCTCGGCGAGGGGACGCTGCTCGGATATCAAGGTGAGCGTCGGCTCGGAGGACGACGTGGGTGTTTTGCGTTTCGACATCGGCAAAAGCGGCCAGGAGCGGCGTATGGTGTACCCGTGTACCCGGGTACGTAGAATTCTTAGCAAGCCTGTGTGTGTGTACTCACACACGCAAGCCTGTCTCTCAGCACACTCACGTAGAAATTTATCTGTAGTGTAACCCACTCCTAATATGAGCGTCATTTTGTACCGACCCCCCCTACTTCGTGGGGACCCCCCCGCCGGTCGGTGGTCTGCCCCCGGTCGAGGTTGTGCATGGCAATCTTGACCGTCTCGAGGGTCCATGCGGCCGCGTCGAGGGACTCTTCCGACAGCTTCGCCGTGTCGAAGATCTGCTTGCAGAAGCCGCCGCGCGTCCCCTCATCTTTCGCGCGGTACGTCGGGAGTGAGGCCAGGAACAGCGCCTGGAAGCATTTGGTGAGGGGCAGTGAGTACCACTGCTCGACCCAACACCACTTCTATCTACTAGCGAGCGCACCTTTGCGACCGGCTGCTGATGCACTTCGACGTCGACGGCATGGACGAGATCATCACGCTGCCCGACGACACCGTGCGCCTGACCGGCGAGGCTGTTGTTGCGCGGTGCAAGTGTGCCCGGTGTGCTGTCCGGCCCGAGGCAGAGGATGGCGGCTGTACGCTGCCGCTTCCGCAGCCAGCGCGGCCGCGGCGGCGGAGCTGCCCAGGGGCGCCCTAAACCGGGTCTGAACCTGGTATGTGTAATAGGGTCCCCCACCCAGGCCGACCCCTGTTTAGACCCAGTTTATCGTAAACAGGACAATCTGGTTCATGTTCAGCGGTGGTCTAAACTGGGTCTAAACATGGTCTAAACTGGTTCGCCGTGCACCCTCATCTCAATGTCCCACCCCCCTGCGCGCGGGCCTTCTAGGCCGCGGGTAGTCTCCCCCCATGTGTGTGTCTCGCGCCTTGCGGGGGGGGAGCGGAAAGGAGGAACCTCCTCCGAAGAGCACTTTCTTGGAGCGCCGCCACTACCACCCAGAGCGCTGCGAGCAGCGCCGGGCAATGACGGGCGGCCAACCCATCCGGGCAGTTCTTGCAGCGATGGCAGCGAGCGATCCGGCGAGCGATCCGGTCGAGGCGCCTGCTGTGCTCGAGGCGGCCGCGCCAGGCTTCGCCGCTCGCGCGGCCGCCTCTCTCCGCGCCGATGGCTTTGTACGCGTCCGCCTCAAGTCCACCGACCTCGCATCGGCCATGTATGAGCGCTGTGCCGCCTTCTTTGACGACCCGGAGGCACCCGGTGCCGCCTTTTCCGCCGCCCGCGGGACCACCCACGCAGCAGTGGGACGGATGCCCTCAGGCGTCTCGCAGCACCCACATTCCTCCTCGCGACCGGTCTGCTCACGACCGGCGGTGCGGCTACTCTCGCGAACGAGGCCGCGAGTTCCTCGAGCTGCACCCGCGTGCCGCCTGCGCCGCCGCCGCGCTGGCCAAAGCGGACGGCCCGGCGGCGGCAGCCCTGCAAGCGGTCGCTGAGTGCGCTGAGGCGTGTCACGCAGTCGCCGTGGCGGTCCTGGAGGAGCTAGCGGCGGAGGGCGGCGAGGGCGGCGAGGGCGGGGCAGCGCTGGCTCAGCTTGTCAGAGACGAGGCGCTGCTTGGCGGCGGCGGCGGCGGCGGCGAGGACACTGGCAGCGGCGGCGGCGGTGGCAGCGCCCGCCGAGGTGGTGGCGGCGGAGGTGGCAGCAGCGGTGGAAGCGGCGAACGTGGCAGCGGCGGCGGCGAGGGCGGCGGCGAGGGCGGCGGCGAGGGCGGCGGCGAGGGCGACGGGCTGGGAGTCTGCGATCGGTCGTACAGCGCCTCGATGCTTCGCGTGCACCGGTACAGCGCCGGCGTCGACTTTCCTCCGCACGAAGACCTCGGGCTGGTGACGGTGGCGCCGCGCGCAACAGCCGCCGGCCTGCAGGTCCAGCTGCCCTGCAGTCTCGGCCGTGCCGAAGCGTTCTCTCGGCCATCTCTCAGCCAGATCTCGGCCTGCCAGGTCCAGCTGCCCTGCGGCCGTTTCGAGGCGATCGAGGAGTCGATGGCGGCGGACGAGGCGCTTCTCTTCGCCTAGAAGGTTCCGAGAAGGTTCCGAGAAGGTTCCGAGAAGGTTCCATGCGGACGAGGCGCTTCTCTTCGCCGGCTCGTCCCTCGCCGCGCTGGTGCGGAGCATCCCCTACCCCACGGTACCCGAATCCACCCTCCCTACCCCACAGGACCCGGACCCACCCAGGTGCGGGGCATCCGGCCGCTGCCGCACAAGGTCGCAGCGCAGGGCAGCGGCCTGCGTCTCTCCGCGCCCTACTTCCTTCGCGCCACGCCGCGCCTCGCGCTAGGCCGCGCCAGCATGCCGCCCGGCGCTGCGGGCGGGGCAGGCGGCGCGGTGTGCGGCGCGGTGTGCGGCGCGGTGTCGGTAGGGGAGTTTGTCGAGGCCAAGATGGCGGAGCGCTCCAACGCGGCGCGCGCGGCGGTCGAGGCGGCGGCGCGGGAGGCGGCGGCGGCGCAGGCGGCGGCGGCGGCAGCGCTGGCGAGCACGATCGGGCGCGATTGCACAGTGCCGGTGGCGGTGGCGACGCCGGTCGCCGCGCTGCTCCCGCCACCGCCGCCGCTGCCGACGGCGGCGGCGGAGGCGGAGGCGGAGGCGACGACGGGGGAGGCGGCGGAGGCGGTGGCGGCAACAGCGACGGAGGCGGTGACGGCGGCGACGGCGGCAGCGACGGCGACGGCAGCGACGGCAATGGCAGCAGCGACGGCGACGGCGGTTGCGTTTGGGGGGGCGGTTGCGCTTGGGGGGGCGGTAGCGCGGAGGCCTGGCCCGCCAGCTCGGGTGCGGGCGGCGTTTCTGCGGATCGACGCTGACGGCGACGGGCGGGTGGCGTGGGGTGAGCTGGAGCGAGGCCTTGCCGACGAGTTCGGCGCGAGGCTGTCGGCCAGAGGCGCGGCTGCCGGAGGGGCGGCGGCCCGGCCCGTGGATACGGATGCCGATGCGTGGGCGGCGGGCGGGGAGGAGGCGGAGGGAGAGGCGACGTCGGGCGGCGAGGAGGGGGAGGGGGGGGCGGCGGGGGCGCCGCGGCTGGCCGGCGACGCGCGCGATCGCCTCTCGTCCCTCTTTGACGCCCTCAGCATTGGCGACCTCTTCTACCCGGCCCGCTACTTTGACGCCGGCCGCTTCAACGAGGCGTACGCCGAGATGCTGTTCTCCGCCTTCGACGCGCGCGGCGAGGGCGCACTCGACTATACGCAGGCGCAGCAGGCGCTGCAGTGGCTGATGCGGACGCCCGCCGACGGCGGCGCCAAGCCCGAGGTGCCGCTGGCCTGCCCGGCCGAAGCGTATGATGCGGCGGGAGGGCTCAGGCTGGAGCGGCCGTGGTTCTTCATGCTCTATCGCACGATGCCGTGAGGTAAGGTCCGGTAAATTTCTCCACAACACAAATGTGGTGTGGGGCAAGAGGGGGGGCAACCATCGCATATCTCCTCCCGGACACGGGCAGGTGGAGCCCCCCACGCGGCATCGCAAAGTGCAAAAGGCCCCATCTATAGAAAACCCCCCGGCTCTACACGATGAGAAACCAGCGAGGGGGCAGGTTGCGTTCGTTTGTCACTGTTCGCGGCTCGGCTTGCGTATGCGGATGGGAGCTTCGAGGACATGGCAGGCGTCCCACCCCCTCCGGCCATCCCCCCGGCTCCCAAGCGCGCGGCCGCGACGCGCTGCGCACCCTCTTCCGCGCTGCGCCCGCTCTCGGCATGGCCGTCGTCCGCCGAGATCACCTCCTCTTCGCGCCGCAGGTGCACAACCAAGGGCTGGCCACCTCCGTATCCATCATGGTGAAGCCAATGGGCCAAAAATGGAGGGAGCGCCCCTCCCAGGTGGCCGGAGGGTACACCTCGGGTCGGCGTGCTGGGGGGGGCGCCGGTGCGCAAGCCCACTTTCCGGGCGACCCCGAGGGGGAGGAGGCCGGGCGAGTGGCAGCAACTCACTGTTAGTGTCCCGGGCCGCTGCGGCACCGTTTATACGGCCCCTC